ATTTTGGGATGTTACATTATTGGTATCAGAGCAGTTTTGTTCTCTTAAGGACGCTGTAGGTTATGAGTGCATTGCGTTTTTGCTGTGTGCTTATTGTGTGTTTAATGAGTTATTGTTTTAACTCTTAGACATAACTAACGTTCGTTTTCTCTGGTCAAGAGAACAATGGCGCCTAGACTCCCTCCTCCCCCACAGCCTAACGAACCTGACGCACCCAACCACGCTAGGCTGTTGGAAACGGTAATTGAAAGGCTACAACAACAAAACGCTACGTTAATGGAGCATAATGCAGCTGCTCTAAGAAGTCTTGAGGCAGCACGAGAAAACTCTGAGTCTACTGAGAGACAATTGATGGAACTAATTGCCGCCACCAGAGGCACGCTAGGGGCGTCCTCTTCCAATGTTGTTCATCATACCGAGTGGAGTTTGGAGAGCTTTCTTCAACACCATCCGGCCAAGTTTAGTGGGAAGTGCCTCCCTGATGAGGCAGATCAGTGGCTGCAGGACATGGAAAGAATTTATAATGCAAAGAGGTGTCCGGATGAAAATCGTTTGGCCTTCACAGAGTATCTTCTGACTGGAGAAGCGAGCCACTGGTGGGCGAGCGTGAAGGCAATCTTGACGGACGCTCAAAATCCCATCACCTGGGAAGTATTTCGGAGCAAGTTTTATGAAGAATACTTCCCAGACAGCGTTCGTTTTGCTAAGGAAGTAGAATTTCTGCAACTGGTTCAAGGAGGAATGTCCGTTGCTGAGTATACAAATAAATTCAAGCACTTGGTGAGGTTCAACACTATGGCGACCAGTGAAGAATGGCAATGTAGAAAATTTGAAAATGGGTTGAGAAGCGATCTAAAGGTGTTGATCTCAAGCTTGTGCATTCGGTCGTTCCCTGCCATGGTTGAGAGGGCTAAAGTATTGGAGAAGAACATGGCTGAGGCAGAACAACAGAAGAAACAACAGGCATCGCGGGGACCAATTTTATCAAGGCCCAATCTGAATCGGAACAGGACTCCATACGCTCGTCCAGCTCAGGCGAGTGGATCTCAAGCTATGGTGGTTGCTGGACAATCAGGGCAACAGGGGCCGGTCAGATGTTTCCAGTGTGGAGGACCCCATTTTAGATCATCATGCCCTCAATTGGTTGGAGGAAAGTATTGTAATCGGTG